AGTGACCCAGGCTGCAGTCTGTGTCTGTCAGTGATCCAGGCTGCTGTCAGTGTGTCTGTCAGTGACCCAGGCTGCAGTCTGTGTCTGTCAGTGATCCAGGCTGCTGTCAGTGTGTCTGTCAGTGATCCATGCTGCAGTTAATGAGCCTGCCAAAACTTTCCTGCTGTCTGTCTGTGCAGCCCCTGCTGGCTTCATCACCCCACCCACACGTGTTTCATCATGCCTGCAGCGGCCTTAACTCTGAGACAGTGCTTGTTCCCCCATGACAGTCCCATACACACAGATTTACAGCAACTTTCAGAAGTTCGGTGTGACCCTGTGCCGTTGGAGCCCTCCTCTACATCAGGCCGTCCTGCTGTGTTGGTACAGCACTGACAGTCTGACGCAAGGTGTTATGAATGATGACGACATCCGTAGTAACACTGAGTTAATGTAAAATATATGAAAATAAGTGATGCATAATAAAAAAGGCAGTTATAATTTGGATTATGCAAGTTTTCATAAAGCTTACGCTTGCAATAAGATGTCACTTTGTCACTTGAAGTTTTATCTGGCTCAGATCTGGTTTGGTAAATTGATAAGCCCACTAGTTATGTGACTATTGGTCACCTAAATTTATGTTCAGCCATGGGACCAGAAAAGAAGAGGACTAGCTAAAATTGGATGGCAGGCAGCCAATGACAGGACCAGCCAATGAAAGGACTAGCTTAGGACAGGCAGCCAATGACAGGACCAGCTAAAGACAAGCAGCCAATGGCAGAACTAGCTAAAGACAGGCAGCCAATGACAGGACCAGCTAAAGACAAGCAGCCAATGACAGGACCAGTTGAGAACAGAGGAGTTGACATTAAGTACTGCTCTGCTTTGGTGCACTGTCCCCTGCCCCTGAGAGCCCCTCGTTTCAGGGGGAGCTTATGCTGGATCAGAGGAGCGGGCTGGATGGTGAGAGAGGGCTAATCACTGCCGATCACCCTCCTGTCAGAGCTGATTCTCTCCGCTGGTGTGGGGCAAAGGACTCAGCCTCTGTGTTCAGATTAAGCGGCTAGATTGTTCTTTAGAAGGAGTGTTATGTCTCAAACCAATTAAACCATGGATGAGTTACCATATAATTGCACTTGGCGTATAGAATTTTATTTCCGCATTGAAGTGATAGCATAACAGAGCCAAAGACAAACTTAGTCCTGTCAGAAGGCTGGGTTTACGAAGCTCTATATGCTGAGTCTCTCTTTACATTTTGTTTACTTAGCAGATATTTTTATCCAAAGCAATGTACATTTTGTTGAGACAGCAGGGGCAGACGGTCCCTGGAGCAGTTGGGGTTAAGGGCCTCGTTCAGGGGCCCGAAGGTGACATCACTCTGCCGACCCTGGGATTTGAACCGGTGACCTCAGTCACAGCATCCTGATCTATTGTTATACAGTAGATCCTCGGAACTCGAACGCCATTGCAGGGGAAGGCAGCCCTGATCCTGAAGTGCTGGTACCCAACAGGTTTTCCATCCTGCCTGGTCTCTGATGAACCTGATCTCAAGCAGGCAGGTAGGACAGGAAACCTGGTGGAAGCCGGCACTCTGAGACGAGGGCTGTCTACCCTGTGCCGTCGGGTGTACGCATCCCGGCAAACACCGCCGTGCCGTGAGGTTACGCAGGCCTTCTGCCCTGAGCGTCCCGGCAAACGCCACCGTGCTGTGAGATCACGCAGGCCTTCTGCCTTGAGCGTCCCGACAAACGGCGCCGTGCTGTGAGGTCACCCAGGCCTTCTGCCTTAAGCGTCCCGGCAAACGCCGCTGTGCTGTGAGATCACGCAGGACTTCTGCCTTAATAGCCATCTGGATTTTTCATGAAGCCGGGGTCCCGGCGCCCCATGGATGACATCATTTCCTGCAAGTTTCATGAGGTGCACTTAAATTCTAGGTCTGCACAGCGAGCTCTGGAACATAAATACTTGATGTTGAATTCTTTTGTAGGTTTGTGTGTGGGGGAGGGGTGTCCCTTCTTGAACCTTGAACCTTGCAGTGTGTGGGCAGGTTTCCCTAAGGCTCAGGTGACTCTTAGGTGTTCAGAGTAGTTCACCTGCATGTGGACACCAACCATCAAGGATTGTCTTCTCAAAAACCTGAAGACCCTTATATAAGGATTCTGGCCTGTGTGGGAGCAGGGAAATCCCATACCCGGAAGCATCATGGCTTGCCTTAAGAAGACACTGAGAACCGTCATGGAGATACGATGCAAGTAATCAGTGACGTGGGAGGACCTCCAGGCCACAGGGAGGCAGTGCAGCCTAGCTTTAGCATGTTGTTTTGGGGGTTGCATACAGTATGTGGATCTGTTCATTTGTGGTCCGTCTTAAGAGGCCTTTCAAGGGCTCAGCGGCCACAGAGGGTCTTTCAGTTATTCATGATACATATTATGTAAGAGAGAGAAATGACAGGTCATATCTAAAGAACTGCGGACGTGAGTAGAGGGAGTCGGTAAGGTGACATTCACCTTGGGAGTTTGTTGCAGGGTTTGGATCTGATTGGCCACATGGGGGCAGGGTTTGGCCACAGTGCTGCCGGAGGGAGGAAGCGTTCATCTGCAAAGCTTGCCGTTTCCTGTCCGCGTGATGATCACTCGTACCTCAGTAGGTTATGGAATTGGTGCCTGTGTGCAGAAGGTGGTGTGTTTGAATCCATGGCCGGCAGACTGATTATATTACTGTTGGACCCGAACTGCTATGGAGGTGCTGGATGATTCTCACTTGTACGTCGCTTTGGATGAAAAGTTCACCCTAAATGAATGCGACTTCTGACTTTCTGTATGCAGGTCTACCAAAGCAAAACCAATGCCTTCACGTTCCAGGTAACGCCACTCAGGTGTTGCAGGCTGTGGAACAGGCCCTGAGCCCCAGGCGCGTTAAGCCGGAGTATTTCTGTACAGGTCCTGCAGGCTGGTGACATGCCAAAGACAGTCGGGTCGTCCAGACTCCGCTCGCTGGGCTCTCAAAATGTACTTCTGGGTCTGGAATTAGCCGTTACTCCAGAACACCATGTTTTCAGGCTGACGGCCAATTGTAACCTGACCAGAATCTCCTCTGTAGCGCGGAACTGACAAAATTATAGTGTTCACTTCAAAGCTGTTTTCCGTCTTTATCTTACTGCTAAATTTCAGCCACGCTTGAGCAGCACGACCGCCGTCTTCGCCCTGTAGATCAGCTGCTCTCTGCCTGAGCAGGTCCCCTCATTCCAAACTACCTTCACCAGCTCACATTCATCCTTATTTCATTTTGATTGTAATAACAGAAGTTTATTGTAGGGTTCCGGAGAAGGAGTCCGACAGCAGTGTGTATTTACGGGCTTGTTCTGGCTGCCTGCTGGTGTATTTCTGCATACTTGCGGCTGTGTGGGGGTGTGATTGGCCGTGATTAATCCCTGATGTTGTGGTCTGTGCGCCGCGCGTTTACCTGCAGCTCTGAGGTGCTTCTCCTGCCGTAGCCGCGGTAACGATACGGCCCCTCCCTCTTCCCACAGAGCTTCGCCGTGCGCTCCCTGGGCTGGGTGGAGATGGCCGAGGACGACCTGGCACCGGGCAAGAGCAGTGTGGCCGTCAACAACTGCATCCGACAGCTCTCCTACTGCAAGAATGACATCCGGGACACTGTGGGCATCTGGGGGGAGGTGAGGGCCCCAGCGCGGGGGAGACAAAATGCAAGACTTTTGCCATTTTTAGCGTTTTGATTACAATCACAGATTTTTATAAAATTGAGTTTCCCCTTGTGGGGACCGAAAAAATGGTCCCCACAATGTCAAAATAACAGGTTTTTATCACATTGTTTGGACATCTGCTCTCCATAGTGTAACACATACGTGAGACACACACAGACACACACACACACAGACACACACACACACAGACACTCACACACACACAGACACACACACAGACACACACACACACAGAGGACAGTATTAGGGGCACCAGCTCACTTGACTGTATGTTTTTTGACTGCCATCGGAGAACCGAAGTACGTTGAGAAAAGACCTGCACAAGCACAGGGAGGTCATGTGACCTGCACACACCCCTGGAGCCCACTTTGTGGAGCCGTCACTCAAACCACACATCTGTGTGGGGCCCCCTTGTGGTCACAAACGTGACCAGGCGATCAGGCGGGATGGAACATGTGGCCAGTTGGCCCATGGCGTCGTTTAGGTTATAGGTGCGGCTAGCGGCTAATGATACTGGAGAAACCCCGGTCAGGTAACACCTCCGTGCAGACGACACGCTGTGACAAAGTACGACTTGCTATGGAGCGTCCTTTGTGGGGTTCAGCTCACCTTAAAAGGGTCAAGGTGAAAAGCTGCCTTGCGTTGGAGGTGGTTGAGTTTGGGTGGGGGCCCTGGGCTTTCTCTTGGGACAGGTCAAGGTTCAAGGTTCAAGGTTGCTTTATTTGTCACATGCATAGATGTACAGGTACAACATGCAGTGAAATGAAATTGGCATTGGTCCATTGAGGGTGGAAGGGGGTAAGGTTAAAGGAGTGCTCCCCCGTTACCACGACTGTGTTGTTTTCGCCCTCCTTGGTCAACTAGTGCATTCTGGGAAACTTTCACGGAGCTCTGCAATGGCGAGGAAACTTTGCGGCATAGAAACTGTTGAGATTGGACTAACCTGAAAGAATGTGCACTTGGGGAGGGATGAACTGTGAATACTGACCCCCCCCCCCCCCAGGTGTAAATCTCAGGCTGTGGCTCCCTGATGCAGTGGCAATAAATCAGGGGAGGCCTGGGTGGTGGTGGAGGTGGGGGGGTGCTTAGCCACAGGGGGGCTGGACGTTAACATCTCAGCCATATCCCCCCTCCTCCTGTGACACTGCCGTTATTCTTCCTTAAAAAGCCCCCCCATTTCCCCAAGCAATGAAGAAGTTTAGCGGGAAATGGATTTAAGAGTAAAACCTCTTATTTTTTTAATGAAAGAGGTAAACGAAAAGGAAACAGCCAAACGTAAGCGCGTTCGGCGCTGCTAAAGCGCTAACCTGTTAGCGTTCGGCGCTGCTAATGCACTAATCCGTTAGCGCTTGCCGCTGGTAAGCTGCTTATCTGTTATTTTCCACGCTGGTAATGTCCTAATCTGTTATGTTCCAAACTGGTGATGCGCTAATCTGTTAGCATTTGGTGCTGGTAATGTGTTAATCCATTAGTGTTTGCTGCTGGCCATACACTCATGTGTTAGCAATCGGCTCTGGTAAAATGCTCATCTGTTAGCATTCTGCTAGTGTTAGGTGCTGGTAATGTGCTACTCCATTAGCATTCGATGCTGGTAATGCGCGAATGTGTTAGCATTTGCTGCTGGTATTGCGCTCATCTGTTAACGTTCGGCGTTGATAATACGTTCATCTATTAGCGTTCTGTTATTGTTCAGTGCTGGTATTATGCTAATCCGTTAGCGTTCAGTGCTGGTAATGTGGTAATCACTTAGCTTTAGGTGCTGGTAATGTGCTACTCCATTAGCGTTTTGCACTTGTAATATGCTAAATTGTTAGCTTTCAGTATTGGTAATAAATAATATGTTCCATTTTGAAGAAAACAATAAATTAAACTTAAATACCTGTTCCCACGGGCCCCAAACCGTTTCAGTGGGCTCCTCCTCTCTGTCACCCTTCGTTAACATCTGTGGATCCACATTTAAACATCAGCTCTTTTAAAGACAGGCGCCTGTTTCCCACATCTGCAGTTTCCAAGGAGAACAGTCCATTAGATCAGGACAAAGTGTCCTGCTGGCCAGCTGCAGACTTCACACACACCTGACACCCACAGGAGATAAGCACACACACTCCGACCCCCGACACTGGCCCGCTTCAGACAACACAGCATGGAGCATTTCATTTTGGTGGGGGAGTGCCAAAACGAGGGCCATTAACTTAACGTGGCCCCTTTAGGTGCCATCTGGAGGGTTCTGGGCTGATGGGAATCCCTCCTAAGAAGTGGGGTCTTCTAAGGCCCCGTTTTTGGGAAAGCCTCCCAAATGAATGAATGTGGTTGGTTTAAAATCTTTACCGCTTAAGGACCACTTTGAGCGTTTAAATATTCATGAGTCCCCCCCATCGCCCGTGGCAGATGCCTTACCTTTAAATAAACTCCTCTCTACATTGATAAACAGGCTGATAGTGAAATACTGCTATGGGCAGGAACTTAAGCCTGTCCTGCTTTCTGTTCTTCCAACAGATCGGAAGCCGTTTAGCAGTTTCACCTTGCTTGGTTTTGCTGGGCAACACTGAGGTCTCGCACCTCCAGGGTCGGAGGTTCAAGCACTGCCCCCTGCTGGGTGTGTGTTGAGGTTGCAAGTCACGTGTTTTTTTTTTTCCTGCATTCCAAAGACATGCAGTCATGCTAACTGGGGGTTATAAACCATATAAAGAGGGCCTGGTCAGCGAGGGCTACCTGACGAGCACGAATGCAAGCTTGGACCTCCTCCACCCACTCATATATACTTAGCCCTGACTTACCACTAAACAGGAGGCATTTCCTATCCCTAGAGAAGATCACCACTCGCTCAACCCCTGGAGCCACGGCCCCAGCTGTGAGGGATACGCCCCGGAGATTAGACTGTCCCTCAGTCTTACCTGATGGCCTATCAACCACCCTATCTTGCTGCAACCACTCATTCTCAACTTCCAACCACGCAACCTGCTCACGCAATTGCTGAAGTTCCTCATCCATACTGCAGCAGATGGGAAACACTAACCCACAAATCCCACACTTTCTGCTCTGGGACCCCCTGCCCCTAACCCAACTAAAAACCCACAACCGAGCAGGCACCTAATTGGACCCGCCGCTGTTATGTCTCACAACCATTAAGCCGAAACAGGTCTCTACCCTTAATTCAGCGATCCTGCCGACTACGCCAGAACATTGCGTGTATGCAGTGGCGGAAGAACTGCACTCAAGGCACCGGGGCAAAACACCGATCGGGCCCGCCCTCCCCTCCCGCGCACACATGCACGCGCACATGCACGCGCACGTGTGTGTGGCGGCGCTGAAACGAGTTTTAAAGTGTGGGTGCAAGAACACAAAAAAACTTAACGAGAGAATTCGACTGTCCTTCACTAAAAACTGTAAAGTTTTAGTGGCTAAATTGCGTTTTCTACGCCTTTTCAGACAGGAGGAGATTTGTTTGGCTATGCCTAGAAAGCAACGTTGTTACCAGTGTGGAGACCGTCAGAGTTTTACCAAGGACAAAAATTCCACCTCCAGCTGCCTGCCCATCTCATCCCATCCATTTCTGTTGCAAAAATTACAGTGTACTGTCTAAGTGAATAGGGTATAGGCTAATTAGTGTGCACGCACCGTCTTTCTCATTCTCATAATGCGTCCATGCCTCCGGGTATAGCCCATTCAAACGTCATGTAGCCTAACTTTTTATACAATTTAGATAGCACAGAATCATTAACCTACTTTAACGCATTTATTTATACAACCATATATTTCCCACATTTTGACATCAGTGATGCAGTGACGATAGTCTCTTTATTTCTTGACGCCAACCCTCCCCATTAATCCGGGCTTGGGACCGGCACCTAGTTGAACAGGCTTGCTCCGTTAAGTGGCTGAGTTAGGCTAAACTATATACATATTTACAAAGACTACAATAAAACATCCCGAAATATGTAGTCTAACAAAACGCAGTTTAAAGAAGGTAGCCTACCTGGCGAAACTGCAAACAAACAAATGAAAAGGCTCACAGCATTTAATCGGGCTACATACAGTCGTCAGACGGACGAGGACGTTAGACAGCCTTTAGATCCTACCCATCATGCACTGCAGTTTTTTGCAAATTTCTCAAACGGAAAACCATTAAATACAAAAGGAACAGCTTAGTTTGACTTCAAAACATTACTATGTATTATAGTTTAAGTTTGTTGTAGGGATTTTACAGGTTTTTTTTTATTATTAAAAATTACACCATAAACCCACCATAATAAGAATGTGTACCAAAAATGACAGATATATAAAATCGCAACTCACAACTGAAATGTAAGTAATATATTAGCTGTCAAAAGCTTGGGAGGAATTATATTAATGTAATTTTATGTGTATTTAGTATATGGGAGGGTCTTCTTTTGGCTGAGGGGAGGGCCCAGGCCCAGGGGCGGTGGCCCCGCCGCCCCACCCTTAGCCCCGCCCCTGCGTGTATGTGCCATGCGATGGACTGGCATGCTGTCTGCGGTTTGCTCGTACTGGGTGCTGTCTGGGATAGGCTCCAGGCCCTGACTTTGAGCAGGATGAGTGCTTTGATGATTCTGGGCGGCTGGTCGCTTTGGTCCTTTGTCAGCTGTTTTGCTTTGTGACTGTGAGCTTGGCCCCAGCAGCTGCCTGGCCTTGTGACCTTTGACCCCTCATTCCTGTGTCGTCCTCAGGGCAAAGACATGTACCTGGTGCTAGAGAACAACCTGCTGAACCTGGTGGATCCCCTGGACCGCAGTGTGCTGCACTCACAGCCCATTGTCAGCATCCGCGTCTGGGGCGTGGGCCGAGACAACGGCAGGTGAGTCCGGCGGCCCCCAGACCCGCCCGCTCCGTTTCTGGCCCGCTTTTCCTCTGCGGGACTGTCTGCTCCTGCTCCGTGTCGAGAACCCGGCACTGTGCGCTAAGCTTTGCTGACATCCTGCGTCTCTCTGCGCCCCCGGGGCCCTGGGTACGTGTTATCTGTCTTCTAAATCCCCCTCATGGGTCCGCCATCGATCCGCCCGCCGTTTAACAAATTGCCTCTTGCTGTGTTTTCTTTTTTTTTTCCCTTCAGTGCTCGAGAGGGTTTAACTAATGAGGGCTTCGGGAAGGGAGGGGGGTTTGCTGCCATTTTGGTTATATCCTCCCAGCAGCCATGATCACCATCGCTCAGACCACACATTTGCGTGGGGCCCCTGTGATCTGGGGGCCCCCAGTTGGCCACAGACGATCACTACTCATGTCCGCTCATGAAGGTTATGGCCTTAAATGAAACTGCAGCAATTACTGGAATATTAAAATGTAGGGGGGTGGGGAAGTGAGAGACAGAACAGACCCGTAAGCTGTAAATGAGGTGCAAGGTGAGCATTCTGGCCCCCCCACATGCCCCACACCACATCCCCCCCCCCCCTCCGGCTTGGTGTGCTTGTGGCCATCCCTGTGCTTTTACGGATCTCCCCCAACACCGAATTCTTCCACTTCCGGTATTACAGCCTCCGAGGGACGCTGGGAATGCGGATCCGTCTGCTAAGGGGCGGTTCTGCGACGGCCCGGTCACTGCGAGAGCCTCTCCTTCGCCTCCAAAACGAGGCCCGCTCTTCGCCCCCCCAGGAAATTCGGTTTCCTTCAATTATCGCATAAACCTCGAAATGTCCCGCAGGCTGCGTGATTTCGTTTTAGTGCCGTCGTTTTATTGCGAAGCTGCGACGTTCCAGGCTTATAAAACTGCGAGGGCGCAGTTTGTGAGCAATTAGAGGGCACTGCCTGAGTTAGTGCGTCCTCCAGGACGTCCCACTGCCCTTCAGCGCCGTGTCCCTCTGCCACGTGCAAGTGGCGAGTAGCAGAGACAGGATGGGAGTAACAAGAAGAAACGTGGAGGGTGAAGTCAAACCTGCAATGCTGGAGAGACATTGATGATAATAATAATGATGTGGTTAGCACTGTTGCCTCACACCTCTGGGACCTGGGTTCGAGTCTCCGCTTGGGTCACATGTGTGTGGAGTTTGCATGTTCTCCCCGTGTCGTCGTGGGGTTTCCTCCGGGTACTCCGGTTTCCCCCCACAGTCCAAAGACATGCTGAGGCTAATTGTCGTTGCTAAATTACCCATAGGTGTGCTTGTGTGAGTGAATGGTGTGCGAGTGTGCCCTGCGATGGGCTGGCCCCCCGTCCAGGGTTGTTCCCTGCCTCGTGCCCGTTGCTTCCGGGATAGGCTCCGGACCCCCCGCGACCCAGTAGGATAAGCGGGTTGGACAATGGATGGATGGATAATAATAATAGTCTATGTTACCAAGCTGAACAGCCATACAAAGAGACAGAGTACAGGTCAGTTAATTACAGAATTTTACTTTGATTGAGGCATGTTCCTCTGTGTTTGCCCAGCTTGACTGTTTGCTCAGGCTGATAGCTTCCTAAATGCTACCCCCCCCCCACCTGTCCCCTCTCCTGGGGGGGGGGCTCATCCCTTGAAGCTCCACCAGATCAGTGAGCAGTGGCCCGTTTTAACTTACTGCAGTAATCAGCGGTCGGCAACCTGATAATCAATAAACTACAATTAAGCTTGAGTGAGCTTAGATTAAAGGCACAACCTGATTGGATGGGCTGGCCCCTGGACAAAGCCCCGCCTCGTCTGATTGGGCAGGTCCCTGGGCGAAGCCCCCCCCTCCTTCCTGCTCCTTCACTGTCCCCTTATCAGACTCTTACTGCTTATGGGGAGAACGCACTTCCTGGTTGGACTGTTCCCTTGCTCGTCTTTCCTGCACGGGGTGTTTAGCGTACATGCTAACGCTAATGTGGGCGGGCATGGCCACTGCCACTGAAGAAGGACCCTTGTGCATAACAGAGGATCCAGGAGAGTCATGCTGTCTTTCCAGAGGAGCTTAAGATGAATGGATGGTAATATAAATATACAACAATGGTAGTATCACACACACACACACACACATTGGCGTACCTATCTAATTGGGGACCTTCCAATCATTTCTTTGGGTGAAACCCTAATCCCAACATCGATCCGAAAGTCCCTCCTGAATTCTGAGTTCAGAGGGTACGTCCAGATAGCAGTAGAGCAACAGAATATGATGGGCCATCAGCATTGTCCCTGTGGTGGACGCAGTTCAGTTGGTCCAACACCAGAGGGAGCCAGTGAGGCCTGACTCATCAATGCAGGGTTGCCGTTTGGGCCGCGTAGTATTTTCATCTCATGCAGGTTTCTGAACGTAAATTTAATTCTTGTTTCCTGAGCTTGCAACGTGGCCATTTGTATCACCGGCGTTTCCACGGCTTAGGAAAATGTTATTTTCGCTTTTTTTTTACTCGCTCTGTGCTGAATTCACCTGCCAGCTCGACTCGGAGCGCCCGTGCTGAAGGTGCTGCCCTTTTCATCGCGGGCGTCGCACAGTCCCGAAAATGACATCCGAGGCCAAACGCCACACGCGTGTCCTTAGGAAAAGCGTCTGGCTTCCTCCGCGGCTCTAAGGTGTGGCTTTGTTTTCTGGGACGACAGATAAATCCCAGATGCGATTGTCACAGGGGTGAAAACTGGAGTGCTGAGCTGTGGTGTGTGTGTGTGTGTGTGTGTGTGTGTGTGTGTGTGTGTGTGTCACCGTAACCGAAGGACGATGGCGTGTTGGACCAGGGGCTGAAGGCACCCAAGGGGGGGTCTCCCACTCAGCCGGGGTGCATCCCCCGCCCCACCGCGGACAGAATAGAATTTCCTTTGTGTTTCTGTGCTCTGCCCTTACGATAATCCCCTGAGAGCCTCGACCGGATGCCCCCTAGTGGTGAAAGCCACACCTGAGACATGCTTCTGTGATTGTGGCCGGCAAGCGTGGCTGCCGGCTGCCTGTCCTCCCGTGTCACACTACAGGCTCGTCTTGCTGCAGTGTGGCCGAAGTGCATCATGGGAAATGCTCTGTGCGAGTAGCTCCTCCTAATTGGGGGCTGGAAATGCCTTTGCCGTTTGGCTAATTGCAGCGTCTGTTACAAAAAACTAATCTAAGCGTAATTGGCGCCTTATGACATCGTTACTCATCCGATTATTATAATTTTTTTTTTTTAATGATTTGCGCATCTGCAGGCGGTGCCGAGCTCTGCTGGCGGTCTTCCTTTTTGTCACTGGCGCGTCATTGTTACGTTAAACCGTCACGGAGCGACGAGTTTGCACCCTCGGAAAGGCCACTTTGTTGCCATGGCAGCAGGGCAGGGTGAAAGGTCATGTGCCGTGTGGCATCTCAGGTTTGGGGGGGGGGGGTCATATCGAACCGTGGGCAGGGCTTTATCAAGCCACACTGCCATTACTACCCAGGGGGTGGCATAGAGGGGGGGGGCGTACTGGGATTTTTGCCATCCCTGAAAATACAGCGGGGATCAGTTTTCACTCCCGGTTTTGTGGCCGCGCTGAATTTAGCAGCTTGTGGCACCTTACACCTGACAGGG